TTCAATATATCAACATAAAAACTTTTACATAATTTAAAAAGTATCGGATCATGATTCATGAATGTATGAGATATCCTAGTTTTTCTAACTGAACATGATTAGATTCAATTATGGGCTCTCAGTAAAAGGGAGAAAATGAGAAAGAAATTGTTTGACTTTAAAATGTTTCAAGAAAGAAAAACAAGAATATCTTGCTAGCTTCCTGTCCTCAGATAACAAGAATATCTTGCTATAGCTTCCTGTCCTCAGATAACAAGAATATCTTGCTAGCTTCCTGTCCTCAGATAACAAGAATATCTTGCTAGCTTCCTGTCCTCAGATAACGATACCGTTATTCATGCCACTCTTGTAAAAGGGGGGGGGGTCACTTATAATCTTTTGTTCCATATAGAATTGTTTAAGAAACTATATAAAAAAAAGTCAAGTTACTCATCATGTATTTTGAGATATCAAATTCGGCGTTTAAGAAAAATTAGATATTTTTAGAAAATGATAAAACTCTTATTATCAAAGAAAATCATAACAGATGATGTTATTACATGTCCTTGATGGATTTAGGGAAAAAAGAAGGGAGGGGGATAGTTAACTGTAAAGTAAGATATTTGGGGAAAATCTTAAGAAAAGTTTGAAGTAAGTCTAGGGGAAAAGAAGCTTGGATCAATAAATTCAAAGATGATTTTTAAATATTAGTTATAGTTAGCGCGATGGGATTTAACGTGAAGAAGAAAGGAAAAGAGGAGAGGAGAAAATGAAGAAAGATTAGAATAAAGAGGAATGGAGAAAAAAGAGAAGAAATAGAAAATGAAGAAAGAAGGAGAAGAAATAGAAAATGAAGTGGAAATGAGAAGAAATAGAAAATGAAGAGGTAAGGAGAAGAAAAAGAAAAAGAAGAAGGAAGGAAAAGAATTAAGAAATGAAGTGGGAAGGAGAAGAAATAGAAAATGAAGAGGAAAGGAGAAGAAAAAGAAAAAGAAGAAGGAAGGAAAAGAATTAAGAAATGAAGTGGGAAGGAGAAGAAATAGAAAATGAAGAGGAAAAGAGAAGAAATAGAAAATGAAGAGGAAAAGAGAAGAAATACAAATGAAGTGGGAAGGAGAAGAAAAAGAAAAAGAAAAAGGAAGGAAAATAAAGAAGAAATGAAGAGGGAAGGAGAAGAGATAGAAAATGAAGAAGCAAGGAAAAGAAAAGAGAAATGAAGGTTGGTATATAAAATTATGTCTAGGCCTGGATGCAACATTATTGCCTGTAAGGGGTTTGGTTGATGGTTCCCTTGAGGGGTTAAGATATAATGTTGATACAAATACTAGACACTATATGTCTATATATAGTGTCTAGTATTTTACATAACCTGTCTATATAGTGTCTAGCATTATACATAACCTGTCTATAGTGTCTAGTATTATACATATCCTGTCTATAGTGTCTAGTATTATACATATCCTGTCTATATGTCTAGTTTTATAGAAAAAAAAACACAGAATTCGGGCCTTTAATGGGAGAGTTCTCTAAAAATGAAAGGGGGTCTAGATATAGAAACATATTCACTGTAATATTAGATCGGAAGCAACATTAACGATACCTGGCACAGAAATTTATGAGTTTGAACTGCCTAATATCGTCGCGGTTCAAATTTGAATCACCAATATAGATTCTTCCTTAAAGGGACTGTAAAGGAAAAATGAAAGGGGGTATCGGCTGAAACCTGATAATCTCAGGAGTTGAACGATACCAATAAGAAATCTTTCTAAGTTCCTGTCTCGAGAAATTGACATAAAACTGTGTCTAAATTATATACCAAAAAGAACATATGTAAGATATACTTCCGTATCATGTGACCAGAACTCCCTCCAATGGCAGTGCAGTATACCGGTCACTTGATACAGACGGAGACACGTGACAATAATACTGTACTTTTGGTTGGAGTTCTGGTGACATGTTCCGGACGCATAAATAATATTATCAATTTTATCTATTAAAAATGAAAATTTATCAAATTTAAGTAAGAAAAAGAGAAAACTTTAGTTTCTCAGGCTCCTCTGGGATATTGTTGTTTTCAGATTTGGAGCGTATTTGTTGAATATGATTAGCTTTACCTAACGTGTCTTATACAAAATCCATAGGTTTTGGTATAATTTGGACACAGTTTTATATCAATTTCTCGCGACAGGAACATCAGATAGAACTCTTACATATATGTATCAATCAACTCCTAAGATTCTCAGGTTTCAGCCTAGACCCCCTTTCATTTTTCCTTTACAGTTTCTACAAGGTTTAAAAGTTTTAAGTTTAAATTATAAATAATTAGTTTAAAAAATATAGACATTGATGTGTTAATTTATACTTCATTGTTGGTAATCGGACATTGTCATCTTTGCATGGAGAGTCACTAGAAATTACGCTTACAGTCCCTTTTACAGAAATCTAAGCAAGTGTTTCTACTGAATTTGAATCCTGCGTAAACGAGTACATTTATTGCATACATCAAGCAATAGAAACAGATAGCAAAGCCCATATAAAGCCTGAATAAGAGACATGTTCACAGAGTTTTAAATCAGAATTTGCTCCCAAACTGGTAAATTTTCAACTGATATGCTTTTATTCGCTGCATTGTTTTGCTTTGCAATTTATACATCGGATATTAAGATAATCTAATATTTTGCTGGGCAAAATATTTGTTTGCGCTTTTACGTACTTGAATGATCTATAAGTTCCAGCGACTATTTTTGGAGTTTTAAATTTAAATTTTTAGACATTTTTTTAATCTTGGGATAGCACTTTACATAAATATCATGTCTGCACATATAAACTATATTCTAACTTTAACTAGTTTCACTGCAATCTTAGAAATTTTTTTTTATAAAATACAAATTTTTTAACAAATAAATCATTATTCCAACAAAAATAAATAAATAAATAATTAAACATAGAGCCATGTAAAGATTACACTGATTTGTTTTCAATAACTTAAGATCAGAATTCTTTTTGTTAATCTTGAACACGATTGATCTCGATATCCAATGTGGGAACTTTAAACTAGAATATGTTCACATTTTTACCACCGGGCTAATGTAGCCACAGAACAATGAAGCCGCTCAAACTCAAATTTTCTATCCTTATATCATTGCAACCTTATGGTGTAAACCTTTTAACATTTCAAACTTATACAAAAGCACAATGCGTAATTGAAACAAAAAGCAATGGAGAGGAAAAGTATTACTGAAAAACGAGAAAATAATTGAGAAAAAAATGACAGCATCCTGTACGAAATATTCGGGATATAAACATTACTTAGAAATCCATATCATTCCGTTCATATTTTAGAACAAAAACAAATAGTGCGAGTTAATTAAAAATAAGTATAATAATAAAATAGTAAAAAAATGTACCGTGCGTGCACGCTGCACATATTTATGTTTAGTGTAGAATCACTGAAAAATACATTTTTATCTTAAACATTAAACTGTACTCTTTGCAGTATGTTGTACACACACATATTTGAGACATTAGCGATATGATATTTTGAACAAGATTTTAGAGAACTTCTATCTTTTTGATATGTTTGTTGTTCACTTTAATTTATGTAAGAAAATAGTGATTGAAAAATAATAATAATTATAATGTACACGTACACACGCCTTTCAGGTCTAGTGTAAAATGAGAATATAATTTTTCAAAGAAACTTATAAACTATTAATCTGCAGTGAAGATTATCTTTCGGTATCTCTTTCTGAAAATGATTGTGTTCATAGAGAGATTTAGAGCAAAGCCAGTCTTTGTTCAAAGAGTACTAGAGCATAAGGACGTCTGTGTTCCTAGAGAAATTTAGAGCAAAGACAGTCTTTGTTCAAAGAGTACTAGATCATAAGGACGTCTGTGTTCCTAGAGAAATTTAGAGCAAAGACAGTCTCTGTTCAAAGAGTACTAGAGCATAAGGACGTCTGTGTTCCTAAAGAGATTTAGAGCATGGATCGTCTATGTTCGGCACCTAACCAAGAGCAAACCTTGTGTTTTGTAAAATAAAAGTTAAGACTTGCTTTAATCAAACATTCTTCTTTTAAATCTAATCTAAACTAATGTTCCAAGAATTTCCCATTTTGCTTCCAAAACAAACAGTTTTCAAAGAAGTTAAAAGTTTAGCAGATAAGAAATCTATTTCTTTACTTTAACCTCTGTCCTAATGTTGGAAAACGAATAAAAGATATAAAATACTTTAAAGGACAATTAATGAGTTTCTGTTAAGAAAATTATGAATTTTTAAAATTATTATGCGGCTGGTATTCTCGCTGGCAAACTAAAAAACCGAATTATATATAGTTGTAACCAAGGAACTTATGTAAGGAAAGTTAATTGCGGTTGCGTATACTCTGCGTACATATTGAAACCAGTTCTCACTAGGCGGAAGTTGTAAATAAGAATAGATGCATCAGTGTTTTGTTTAGTATCCGTGGAGGATAAAAG